AAACACACAAAAAAAATTCTGTTATCTTGTATTTTCCATGTTTAACTGTCTCACTCACTTTTCCCCATGTTCTGTATCCTAATCCACCTATCCCCTTCACTGTCATTGTTGTTGCGTTGGCACCATGCTTGTTTTCAAGCCGGTGGTAAATATATATATATACATTGAATTAAGATTTCGTTTCCATCTCTCCATTTTTTTCTGATTTTAGACGTGTCCACCTCGTGTAAACGTATCCTAGAATTTTTCTTTGCTCTTTCTACCGCGGCTGTTTATTTTCTTTTTCCCCGTCTCAACCTGCGCCTGTTCCCTATCCAACTTTCACATATTTTAGCCTTAGCAATTATCGAGATACTTTGTCTCTGTGATTCTCAATACAATGATGATGATGACCGCTCCTTTTTTGAATTCATTGTCTCTGTTTTTCCTTCCACCTACAATCTCCTTTTCAAAACCAGAATTAAGAATCTATCTCTATTTTGATTGTACTCCCTCTGCATCCTCACCTTAACAAGATGTCTTAGAACCATGAAATGCACTGTTTTTGGTGATCATAAACACACGCTAGATCAATTAGTGGCCAAGAAAAATTATGGATTCTGTGATATTTTTTGATGTTCGATTGTCCGTCTCGGAGTTTTCTGTGATGAAATACTGTCTTTCGACCTGGTTCCTCATACTTATGACTTTTTCGCCAAAAGAAAGTATTTAGCTTAATCAAAGTTTTGTGCACTTCATTTCCACGTTTACAATAATTGATTGAATTGCAGCATTGTTCCTCACGTCCATATGACCGCAGAATCAGATGATATAGCAGTTGAGATCCGGGGCGGTAGTTCTCCTATGAACAAAGTGGAAGGGGCATCTGAAGCAGGTAAGTTTTTGAGTTTGAACATATCATGTTCGATTCTAGTGGCACCATCAAATGCTGCTGAAGACCAAGAATCGAAAATCCACTGTGTCGACTATTTGCGAGTAAAGGACATTACTCAGGTAAATACGAGTCGTGCAGCGTTTTTAATGCTACCTTACACAAACCTGGTTCACTTACCGGATGTATCAAAAATTTATTAATTCTGTTCATGCAGTTTGACCTATTCCCATTCTTTCACTTTGGACCGTCTGTTGTAAAGCGCAACTTTCCTGGTATTGCATAAAAAATCTGCCATGGAGGTCAAAATCCTTGTGTTGAATAATTTACGTTCAATTCTAGTTTTCACGCTTATTTCAGCACTGGTATTTTTAATCGTTCGCATTACGGTATCTCTAACTCGACCAGCAACCGTTCTCCATGTTGGTTGTACTGGATTACATTTTACCGAGCGTGTCGTTAAGCTGTAGATATATGAAAAAATATATCCGATGCACGCTTTAATCGGGACCAGCTGTTTTGGCCTCATTATTCTCATATCTCCAACCAAATTTTCCTTCCTTGCTGCTCTCTTCCAGTCTCAATACCTCGGAGTATAGAAACATTTCATTTTGAATGCGACCAATTTTTTTGTCACAAATTGTGCGCTCTTAACATCACGATGAGACTGCACCATGACGTGGTGGGATGGCTCGTGCACCTCTCTGACCCAACGAGCTACACAGGATGGCTTGCTTCAAGCGAGGAAATCATATCATGCCTGGGAGACCGAAGGGTAGAGGTCGGAGGAAGTTCAGTCTCCTAGTCCTCCATGTTAGAGGTTCGACTAGAGTTTGCGTTTCAGTCGGTAAAAAATGGTGATGGAGTAATTGATCCAAGTATATTGGTGTCCACTTCGCTTCACCCGCTGCCTTGCAGCTAGGTTCTTGTCAGAACTGAAGGCTTCGGTTGAGAACCCTAATGGTTCTCCTGCTTAGTGGCTGGACAAATTAGCAGGTACAGATTTCTGCCGGTCTTATCAGTTCAACTCAGTTCTTAAAACCATTAACCATGCAATTTCGTGCGCCAATTTGGATAGAACAGCAGAATCCAGGAAGATAGAGTTGGTGGGTCTACGAAAAGAATGTCGCTGCTCCAAAGTTTGGCGAAGAGTGACGATGTGATCGATACAACCTCAGCCAGGTCTAAAACTAGCCTGGTTCTCACGCATGCACTCTTTATGTGCGGCAGACAATCGACGGAGTGTAATACCAGCGAGAAGTTTAGAGGCAATGTTAATTGAACTACTTCCTGTAAGGTTATCGCAATAGCACCTGTCATCCTTCTTGTAAATCGGTGCGATCAGGGATTCACGACATTCAGTTGGAACCTGTTCCCTTTCCCACATTGAGTCAAGGAGTTTTGTAAACTCCAAACCCTATTTTGTTTTATTGCCCTCCCTTTGGAGAAAAAATATAACCTCGAACAAGGCACAATTTTTAGGGAGTCATGTCGCGCGCTTTGCTCTCTGTACACTTTCTGCTACAGGTCACATTAAACTAGAAACGCTCGTACCTGACTCAATCCGTTCTCTCTCTGGGAAACGTTGTCGTAAGCGGTCGTAAGATAAAGTCAACGCCTGAACCTGTGCTACTAACGCTTTTACGCAAGCTACGAGTTCGACGTTGTCGGAGAAAGGCGGTGGGTGGGCGCTGGTTTTGTAGGGGACTGACCGAAAACTGGTCTGCTTATACCCTATCGGTTATTTCTGCTAATTCGGTCAGTGTGTAGCGTTGACCGAAGTACTGTAGGATGGAAGACAAGCTTTTTGGTAGAGCTTGCATCCAGGACCAACGGAGGATGTTCTCATCGACCTTGAGGTTGGCAGCCTGTCCCTGCATGCAACTTAGCAGTTTCGTGGGTGTATCCAGGCCGTTGTCGCCGAGTGGCAGGCCACCTAAGAGC